AGAAGGTGGTGCGGAACCAGTACAAACTCTTGGTATCTTGGAGCATGTACATGGTGCCGCCCTTCTTCCCCCGGGATAATTTGATTTGGCAATGCTGCTTATTTCAGGACGCATGGTTATCCTGTGGTGCTTAGTCATCCAAGTTATGGACGATGCACAAGTCAACCAATTATTATTGTGCAAGGAGTAACCATTACTCCAGTTTCTTATCATCTTGGTTCTAAATTTGTTGATGGTCTTAGCCAGGACGCTATATGGCTACATGGTGCATCAAGTGTGTACTTTGTGCCAATTTCCTTCATTTTTTTGCTTTCATAATTTCCTTAATTTTAATGGCGTCCAGTGAGGAGGAAAAGAAATACATTATCGTATTGGCAGACACATTATTTTTCTATGGTCCGTATCAACGCCCGGATATTCTTCTATTTCGTATAAACGTCGATAAAGTCAGCTTGCAAAAATTCGACAAAACCCTACTGGACTACCTAGTGCAGCTGTCCATGACAATAGGACGGGACCAGTAGAGTTGCGGATGCTATCTTGAGAATTCCGGTCTGTACACGCAACATAGAGGACTTCTGGGTGTGGTATCCAGATAAAAAAGGGCTGTGAGCTCAGCATACAGATTTTGGTTAGCACGAATGCAGCGTGAAGAGGTGGTTAGAGGGCAGAACTGGGGCATCCACAGGACAGGAGGAAGAGAGGGCCTGGTCTGCTCTATGGAAGATGTCAATACCTTCGAAAATCAAAGTATTTCTATGAAGATTGGCACGTCATTCGCTGCCTACTATGGACGTTTTGCACCATAGAAACATGGCAACCCAGAACACATGCCCATTGTGTGGGTGCCAGGACTCATGGTGGCATGCTTTGCTTTCATGTACCATGTCGAGGTGCGTGTGGGCACTATCTAAGGAGGATGTGGTGCTGACAATGGCAGAGTTGGAAGAACCTAGTGCCAAAAGATGGATGTTTAAATTATACAACAAGCTGGATCACTCCAAGTTCACGAAGATGGCTGTTACGTTGTGGGCTATTTGGTATGCATGTAGGAAAGCTGTGTATGAGGCAATCTTTCAAGCGCCGCAACAGACCATATCATTCGTGGACAATTTTCTAGCAGACTTGCAACTACTCCCTACTAGGGAACCCATGGTGGTGAGTCCGACAACAACCATGGTCCAGCCTCAACGATGGCTCGCTCCAGAGGCTGGCGCTGTCAAGGTGAATGTGGATGGAGCCTTAGCACGGAACATGCGTGGTGGAGTTGTGGCAGCACTCTGCCAAGACCAAAATGGCATCTACCTTGGTTCCTCTGCGATGGTTTACGGGGGCATCACTGACCCGATGATCTTAGAAACTTTTGCTTGCAGAGAAGGGCTAGCATTGGCAGATGATCTGGCTGCTCATAACATGGTGATTGCCTCCAACTGTCAGGGAGTAGTCAAGGACATCAACCAGGAGACAGGTGGCTCGAATGCATCTATCACACATGAAATAATAGCTCGTAGCTCTAGTTTTTCTTCTTGCAAGTTTTTTTTTTGGAAAAGGACGAATACCCCCGGCCTCTGCATCTGGACGATGCATACAACCATTTTTATTAATTATTAACACAAGACCTTACAAAGTCATACAACAGTAAGACCAAAGCCACCATCTAAGCAACATCTGTCGCTACTTCTATCCAGATGATGAAGGGGCGATGATAGTCTAGGCCTAATACCAAACAGACCTTGCAGCCAAACCTAACATCTAAGACATGAGGTCCCAACCAGGACGCCTGCCGGGTATGGCACCCAGTCCGGCGTGCTCCTCAGCCAGGACGCCTGCTGGGTATGAGGCCGCCGCAGCCACTTGCCACCAATCCATCTTCAGAGCTGTACTGCTACATCAACCTTGCCCGGTCTAGCTGCCGCCGACGCCACCACGACGCTGGACAGCGTCGACCTCCTGCGCGTGTCCATCACCACACATCTGACGCCAAGCCTCTGTTGCTCCATGCCGCCAAGAGCCGCCGCCATGAATATGTAGAAAGAAACACCGCTCCACCGAAGAAGCCATCCACTGTTCCCTCGAGCCCGAGTGCATCTCCAGGAATGCCGCCCCCAAGGGGGTAACAACACATGAATATTGCCGTCACCCGATCAACTGATCTAGGGTTTCCCCCGGAGGTATTGGGTGGGTTTGGGATTTGTCCCTCGATGATGCCTTCATGAAGAAAATTATGATAAGGGCATCGTCATCACCGGCTCCAGCCAACGACCGAAGACCAAGTTTTCACTAGGATCCGTCTCAAGAAATCCACCCGACAACCTGTGCACTGTCTCGACCGCCTTCAAAGCCCTAGATCTAGCCGCCTAGATCCAGCGACCAACCGCAACAACAGTGCCACCGTAGGAGCCCTGGCACACCGGCCACTGCCTGAATGCGCCACCACTGGAGCCTGGGAGGAGGACTCCTACCCCACCTCGCCAAACCGTGAGAGCCGTCGAGATGGATCTCACACGCTCATCACCGTCTCTGATCGGAACCAATCCGTGGCAAAACCATGAGATCGCCGACACAGATCCGCCTTGGATATGGACTGCACCACGCCATGCCACCGCGGGAAGCCGGAGCTTCACCCGCCGCCGCCCCAGGATCCTGGTCTGGCCAACCCGGACCTCCACGGCGCCCTCTTCATGCCGCCGCCGCCGGCTCGCCACCAGGCAACCGCGTCGCCGCCCAAGGCCTCCGCCCGGAGCACGCCGTCGCGCCACCATGGATCAGATCGCCGCCGCACCGTCACGCGCATGGAAGTCCCGCCCCACCCCCTCCGACGCGATCCAGGGAGGAGAGCCTCCGCCACTGCCGTCGGCCCTCGGGCTTAGCCCGGCGGCGTCCTCCTGGCGGCTAGGGTTTGAAGAGCCGCCCGAGTCGCCCGAGACGGGGGCGACGCGGGGGAAGGGACGGGCCTGAAGATGAGCGCAAAACTTTAATTTTGAGGCTCACAATCTCGCAAAGTATGCATGTAATCTAGATGTAGGTAGACATGTTTGGTTGGGCAATCCTCATGACCCAACTCTTGTACCTATCAACATTACTTTGATTCAATAAAGCCCGCGAGATTACTCAAAAAAAAAGGCGTGGATATGCATTTGGCCCTCCACCTAGCAATTTTCTTCAAGGTCTTGTCAATTTGCGCCAGGAAATCCTGCCACTTGAGCTTCTTGGCCGACAAGGGCATACCCAGATACGTGCACACAGAAACTGGCTAGCTAACACCCAGGAAAGCTTGAATATCAGAGAGGTCAATTTATTCACATTGAATAGGGAGGATCTAGACTAACCACTAAGCCCACCTCCCCCCAAGTCGTCCGCTCCTAGGCGACACGGGGGCGAATCCCTAGCTCCGGCCCGAGGCCACCTCCGCCCCCTTCCTCCTCCCTCCGCCGCCAGCGGCGGCTGATACGTCTCTGTCGTACCTATAAATTTTTATTCTTTCATGACAATATTTTACTACTTCCACATACTTTTCGAAACAATTTTTATGATAGCTTTGACTAACATATTGGTCCAGTGCTCAGTGTCAGTTCCTGCTTTTTGTTTCGCTGAAAATCCATATCCAACAAAGTCCAAACGCGATAAAATTTTATGAAGATTTTTTTGAAATATATGTGATTTTTGTGAAAAAACCTGCTTCACAGCAGCAAAATATCTTGGAGAAAATTTCATGGACGATAGACAAATGTGGAGACAAATAAGATAGTATTAGTGACTGCTTAATTATTTGCCTTTACAACACCAGAATAACTGGGAGATAATTCCATGAACAATAGACAGATCTGGTGACAAATCAAACCAAGGAACAGAGGTTTACATAGGGACGGGGATGTCTGATTTTGGCCCAGGGTGTGAGTTTGTGGAGTGCTGCCTCAAGTTGTTCATCTTGGTCGCCTCGTCTTCTGCCACGTCTCCACCTCTGGAGCACAAGCCTTAAGGATACATTAGCTCTTTGTTATAGACAAATTTACAAGCAGATTTTGTTCCTTCTTTCTTTCCGATTTTATAGTTATATATGGCTAAATCACTAAACTGAGCATAGCAGGGTCGTTCATGCTAATGAGGTGGATTGGTTTCTCTTGATATTTGTTGAGGCGATGAATGAGCAGGTGGTGCGGGACCGGTACGAGCTCTTGGTATCTTGGAGCATGTACATGGTGCCGCCCTTCTTCCCCTGGGATAATTTGATTCGGCAATGCTGCTTATTTCAGGACGCATGGTTATCCTGTGGTGCTTATAGTCATCCAAGTTATGGACGATGCACAAGTCAACCAATTATTATTGTGCAAGGAGTAACCATTACTTCAGTTTCTTATCATCTTGGTTCTAAATTTGTTGATGGTTTTAGCCAGGACGCTATATGGCTACATGGTGCAATAAGTGTGTGCTTTGTGCTAATTTTTCTTTTTCTTTTTTGCTTCCATAATTTCCTTTATTTTTAAAAATGGCGTCCAGTGAGGAGGAAAGAAATACATGTTCATATCGCCAGAGACGTTATTTTCCTATGGTCCGTAGCAATGCCTGGATATTCTTCTATTTCGTATAAACGTCGATAAATCGGCTTATAAAAATTCGACAAACCCTACTGGACTAGCTTGGGCGGCTGTCCACGACAGTAGGATGGGACCAGTAGAGCTGAGGAGCAGGAGTTCCCAGCTCGAGTTACCCACGAATTTCAGTCGACATACCTGAAAATCAAGTTTGGCAGTTGTGGGCACGGACTAGTACTTGCAACGCATGGCCCCCCACCAATTCAGTCGACGGACAGCACCCTGCATGAAAATCAAGTTTCTATCAAGTGTGTATTTCATTAAAAAAAAACAATTGTGGGCTTGTGGCCACCGACAATTGCAGCGCATGGTTAACAAGTCTATAAGATGCACCACCCAAGCAGTTTGTGCCGAGACAAGAGCACTTGCTGCGTGCTTGCGTTTGTGCACACATATTTACATACCACCATGGCTAAATGCCAGCTGTTGCTCCTCTTCTTGGTGTTTCTTTTGCTGGCGGCGCACGCCAAGTCATGCCACCCTGACGACCTCCGTGCATTGCAGGGCTTTGCTGGGAACCTCGGCGGCGGGGGCGCCCTTCTCCGTGCCGCGTGGTCTGGTGCGTCGTGCTGCGGCTGGGAAGGCGTGGGCTGTGACGGCGGCAGAGGCCGTGTCACGGTGCTACGGCTTCCAGGGTATGGCCTCTCGGGGCCAGTCCCAGGAGCCTCCCTGGGGGGCCTTGCGCAGCTGGAGGAGCTCTTCCTCGGCTCCAACTCTTTCACGGGCTCCCTCCCTACCTCCCTCTTCAGCCTTGTTGGGCTGCAGAAGCTCTCCTTCGAATCCAATCAGCTCACTGGACAGTTGAGCACGCACCTCCAAGAGCTCAAGAACCTCACCTTGCTGGACTTGTCTGTCAACCGCTTCTCCGGCCGCCTCCCTGACGTGTTTCACGACCTCACGTCGCTGATCCATTTGTCCATGCACTCCAATGGATTCTCTGGATCGTTGCCGCCGTCTCTGTCATCATTATTATCTCTCCGTGAGCTCAACCTCGAGAACAACTCCTTGTCTGGTCCGATTGCTCGTGTCAACTTCTCCGGCATGCCACTTCTTGCTTCAATTGACTTTGCGGCCAACTACTTGAGTGGGTCTCTCCCGATTAGCATCGCGGATTGTACCGAACTCAAGTCGCTCAGCCTTGCCAACAACCAGTTAGTTGGCACCATCCCATCGTGGATTCGTGAGCTCGTCCACCTTCGCTACTTGGATCTCTCAAATAATTCATTGATTGGCGACGTACCCAAGGGTTTGACACTGCTCAAGGGCCTCACCACCGCTGATCGTTCACAGCGTATGGCTTTCATTAACATGCCATTGTATGTGAAGCGTAATAGGAGAACACTCCAACAACAACCAAATGTCATAACTGGAACCAACAACTATGTCAGATCTGGGGATGGCAACACTGTATCTGGGAATGACAACACTGTCATATCTGGGAATGACAACACTGTATCTGGGAGCGACAACACTGTCAGATCTGGTAACAAAAATGTCCTGACTGGTAGCAACCATGTTGTATCTGGGACCAACAATGTTGTATCTGACAATGACCATGTCGTAAATGGGAATAACAATGTTGTATCCGGGGGGAACAATATGGTAACGGGCAACAACAATGTCGTATCTGGGAGTGACCACGTCGTATATGGGAACAACAAAGTCGTAAGTGGAGGTTAATGATCTGTCAGTGGATTGATTCCGTCCTCCTCCAGACATAGCTCACATGTCCTTGTCCAAGTTCGGTGTGGCTCACGATCACATGTTGGGGCCAATCACAGTTTGTAACCTCATGGATATAGCATCCGCCCTTTTCCTATTTAAAATAAAGTTTCCCTTATAATTATGTTCCTAAGAGTTCTACAAAACTTTGTATGTAAATGCTGACCTGAACAGCAATGGGTGGCTTGCAGCTGATGTAGACCAAGCGTGATTTGCACCGTGGATTTCTAAGTGTGGTGATTATTTCATCTCTTCCATTGTCTGTGATGTGTGATGCTTTCAAGAAAAGCCGTGAATGCATTGTCTACTCCTTCATTGTGTTGACATCAGTTATTATGCAACTGGTGTAGAATACCATTCTATACACCTTATGCCTGTAAGGAAAGTGAATTGCAAAAAACCACCACATTTCAAGTTCATATCCGGATTTGCTACCACTTTCCTTGGGCGCCCCAAAAATCTACCATTTTTCTTGCTAATTTTCTAAATAAACAGTGATGACCGCCTTAGGGCGATTTAATCCAAATCCTGATAGCCTGGGCCCGCTGTCAAGTCCACATGACACTGTGTGTGTTGACTGTTTGCGTTGACTGTTAAATCAGGTCCACATGTCAGCGTTTCCAGCGGGAGGCTGTCAAAAATTGGATTAAACCACCCTAAGTCGGTCATCGGTGTTTATTGATAAAACTAGCAAGGAAACAGGTATTTGGGGCGCCCAAGGAATGTGGTAGCATATCCGGATATGAACCTGAAACGTGGTGGTTTTTTGCAATTCACTCACCTGTAAGGGCATCTTCAACGCCGACCCGTGATTTGATTCAGTTAACTGAATCTTGGTGTTTGAATTAACCTATAGCTTCAGTCACAGTGAGCAAGATTCAGTTACCTGAATCTTGGTGTTTGAATGAACCTAGGTTCAGTTACAGTGAGCAAGATCCATTTAACTGCATTCAATTTAGTTAACTGAATCTTGTTGTGATTTGATTCAGTTAACTGCATTCAATTCAGTTAACTGAATCTTGGTGTTTGAATTAACCTAGGTTCAGTGAGAGAGAGCTAGATTCAGTTAAGTACTTTCAATTAACACATAGGTTCAGTGAGAGAGAGCTCAATTCAATTAACTTTGTGCAGTCACAAACAACAATACTCAGTTAACTGCATAAGTTCACTCACAACAAGATTCAATGAGCAACAAAATTTGCTAGAATTGGAGCAAACACTTGTTTCCAGATCTGGAACCCTAGAATCCCACAAACAAAAATTGCTACTCCCTCCGGTCCTTTTTAGTCTGCATATTAGTTTTGTCCAAAGTCAAGTTATCTCTACTTTGACCAAAGATATAGAAAAGATTATCAACATTCACAATGCGAAATAAATATTGTGAGATTCTTTATGAAATGTAGTTTCATAGTATATATACTTGGTATTGTAGATGTTGATATTTTTTGAGATAAATTTGGTCAAACTTTGCAATGTTTGACTTGATAAAAATCTAATACGCACAGTAAAAAGGACCGGAGGGAGTACTGGAGAGAGCGAGCCAGCTCACCGGGGGCTGGACCAGCACCATTTGATAGTAGATCAACGAATTTTCCTCCAAGAATAATTGAACAATCTTCCTCCTCGATGAGGTTGCCCCATGCCATGCCGGCCAGCCAAGGTGACCAGACACGTTCACCACACCTTACTCCCCACCACTCCCTCGCTGATGGGTTCGGGGCCGCCGCCACCGCCGCCTTGCCCGAGCAAGAAAGGAGAGATAGACGGCTAGGGATGGGAGTGAGGGTTGACCCAATCGCTCCGAACATGACCGTTAACGGTCGTTAGTGCCTCCTTGTCACAGCTGTCTGCCGGCGAGTGATCGGCCACGTCAAAACGCTCTTAGAAAATGAATCAATGTTTTTGCCATTGTCAATTCTTTGCTACAGTATAAAGTGTCACGTTTTGTAAAGTGGTGGTTTACGAGAGCTATGACACTAATGTGGTGGTTCTATGCATTTTACTCATTTTCTACAATACAATGAGAATAACAAAAGACTTGAGTGACTATGGCAGCTGAGGGACTATTGAAGAGACGAGCGGATCTATCAAATAAATATAAGGCACGGGTCTAGGGGAACTCTTGGCTACCTTCAGGATAATTTGGTATCAAAGTTATCATAATAACCCATGGATGATGAATCCACCATCGATCTAAACTTTGCTTAGACTCCCGCCCGAATGCAGTATCACTGTTAAAGATATATTTGGGTTACTTGTATTTGGTAGTCGGTCATCAAAAGTCACTCCAGTCATAACCCGGTCCCCTCCCTCCCCTCCCTGGCCGCTCCCGCGAGCGCCGCCAGGGGGGAAACCCTAGCGCGCGGGCTCGGCCCTCCTTCTTGCTCCTCCCTCCCCTCGCCGCCGCCCCCGCGTGCTGGCGGGCAAAGCCCGGCCAGCTCGGGCGGCGGCGGGGCCTCTTCCTCCCCCCGCACGGCGCTGGATGGCGCGGGCCATCTGGGCTGGGCGGCGGCGCGGCGTGAGCTCAGGGCGCGGCGGTGGCGGCCGGCGACGGGGGCGCGGCCTGCAGGTGGCGGCGTGGAGTGGCTGGTGCGGGCTGGGGCGTTCTCTGCTCCCGGCGGCGGCGGCTTTGGGCGCGGCTCAGATCTGACGAAGCTGCGGCGCGGGTGGCCTGGGCCTCTGTGGTGGCGGGGCTCCGGCTCGGTGCAGGTGGTGGCCGGCTCTGGTGACCGCCCCCTGCTGCGGCGCTCCCTGGTGGTGGCGGGCCTGCCGGCCCCCGGCCGATCCGGCGATGGCAGGTGCCGCGGGCTGTGCTCGGCATGGATGGGGCTGCCACGGCGTGGTGGTGGCCCTTGGCGGTGGTCGGGTTCGTCTCACGGCGGCGGCTGGACCTCTTCGGCGTCGGCCCGTCGGTGAGCGGCCTGTGCAGGCCTTCGACCCCTCTTCTCGGTGCCCGGGCGCAATCTTCATCGGAGAGTTGGCTCGTCCCCAGCTTTGGTCCATCGCTTGTCTCGCGCCCAGGCTGCAAGACTGATCTCTTCTCACGCCTGGCAGCAGGACCGAGCCCGTCTCGCGCACGGCTGCAGGACCGAGCTCGTCTCGCGCCTGGCGACAGGACCGAGCTCGTCTCGCGCACGGTGCAGCAGGACGAGTCGATGGTGTCCAGATGCTAGGGGCCGCTCAGTCTCTTTTGGTTGCGGTAGCGGCGGGTCTTGGATGAGGTGGTGTTTAGGCCTTGGATGCCGGGGCGGCGGCCCTGGTGGTGATGGTTGCGCGGTGCTCTTGGACAAAGCTCGTGCCTTGGTGCTGCCCGGTCATCATGGTCATGTGGGCGGCGTGGTTGCCGCGGTGTGGCGTTCGGTGGCGGTGATTGTTGGCCGAGGTAAAAACCTGCTCTATTTTCGGACGGACCGGCGGCGGCGAAGATCGCTCCCTTCTTGAAGGCGTCGTCGCGGCTCTCATTGCCCGTCATGCAGCTCCGGGGGAAACTCTGATCCTTGGATCGGGCGGTGGTGGCGCTCCGGCGTCGTATCCTTCCTGAAGGCGCCGCCTTGGAGCACATGGTTCGTCATATGTAGCTTCATATCTTCGGGGCGGTAGTGCTAGGAGTGGTGTTGCTGCGCTCAGTGCCTATGTATCATGTCTTGGGTGTGTGCGTGTGTTGCGGTGGCGTGGCATGTCATTGTACTGGATGCTTGTGGTTTGGTGCTTTATATATAAAGCGGGACCAAAGCCTTTTTCGGATTTGGTAGTCTAGGATTTGTAATCCGTCTCCAATCTTATCTTTAAGAGAGACTTCTTGCCCTTCAAATCTTGTACTTAATATGTACTCGCCCTCGAGGCTCAATAAAACATATTCCACCAATCTCTCTCCCTTCTAACAATGTCAAATGTGTGGCTATTTTCTGTTTGGGATTTCTGAATTCAGTTATGTGGCAGCTAAATAATGCATCCTTCATTTATGTTGCAGCAAGTGGGCGACAAAGATAGGCTCAGCACCCTCACTGATGATATTCTCCTGGCAATCCTGGAGAGACTCAGTTCACGTATGGCTGCAATGACGAGTGTGCTCTCTACACAGTGGAAGGCATCTTCCTTGGTTGCTGCCTGAGCTCAGCATCGATGTTAGGGATTTCCTATCCGCCCCGTGCGCTAATCCTATTGATGCAAATGATATGGAGCAAGCTATGGCGTCTTTGACAAAAGCAACCAGGAGCTTGCTGGATAAGCAGCACAGAGAATACACCATCTCAAGTTTGCAGCTTAAGCTCTATCTGTTCAACACTTTCCTGTGCGAAGTTGGCCCACTGATTGGTGATGCAATCCACAGTGGTTTATTGAAAGATTTGGATCTCGATATTCTTGATGAGACAGAGCCTCTCGACCGTAGTGAGGATGAGATGCAACAGCCAGCTCAAGACATAGATGCTTTTTTCACTGCCTACCCTAGTGTGCTCCACTGCCTCACAAAGCTCTCTCTAAAAAATGTAGGCTTTGACAAATGGGACATGCACCATCTCCTGTTTGACTGCTGCAATCAACTGAAGCATCTAACCCTTCATCATTGTGATACTGGTTCCTACTCTCTCTTTAAGATTGATGCACCACACTCAAAACTCTGTGTTCTAGAAATCTGAAAGTGTCGCTTTCTGAGAATCGACCTTCTCTGCCTCCCTAAATTGGAGAAGTTGGTTTGCGATACTTGGATATCTCAGTGTGCCCCGTTGACCTTTGGTTTTGTCCCATCTCTTGGGGAATTAGAACTCTCATGTGGTTCAGATTGTGAGCAACTCAGATTTAAATTAAGTGAGCTTCTACATGGAGTAACAGGCATACGTACTCTCACATTGGATTTCCAAGGAGAAACCGTAAGTACTGTTAAACGTGATATAATCTTCACGTGTATACCTTGCGTACAAGGAGAGGAGACCCTGGCTAACCGCATGAGGAGTAGTTAGACAAGATACTCATGTAATCTTTATCTTCTTTTATCTCTTGTATTTCTTCTCCTCCAAGATGTATCTCTACAACAACTTGTACGCATATCCGGGCTTGCAACCCATCTATATAACATGGAACACGTCGGCCATGATAGGCAAGACGTTTACCGCAAGTCGCACATGGTATACAGAGCCTTCTTCTTCCACCAGAAACCCTAGCTAGTCCATCTCCATCACGTGCGCGCAACCATGTCTTCCTCCTCCGCCTCCTTCCAGTCGATGCTCGGGGGTGGAGCCCCGGAGAAGCTCACCCGCACCAACTATGTGCTGTGGCGGACACAGATCACGCCGTAGCTGCGGGGCGCCGGCGTCTTCCATTACGTCGACGGCATGGCAACCGAGCCGGCCAAAGACCTCACCACCAAGGACGCCGCCGGCAAGGAGACCACTGAGCCAAATCCCCTCCATCCGCTTTGGGTGAAGGAGGATCAGCAGGTCCTTGGATATCTACTCCAACACTTGTCCAAGGAAGTGCTCGTCACGGTGACCACGATCACCACGGCGCGCGAACTCTAGGTGGCCCTGGCGAGCATGTTCTCGTCGCAGTCACTCAGCCGCGTCAACAACATCCGCACAGCGCTGATTAATGCGCAGAAGGGCAATCAATCGGTGGCCACCTTCTTCGCCGCCATGAGGGGTCTCGCCGATGAACTCGCCGCGGTGGGAAAACCCATCCAGGACGACGAGCTCATCTCCTACATCATCCACGGGCTGGACCAAGAGTATCAGCCCCTCGTCTCCGCACTAGATGCCCGTTTCACCCCGGTAACCCTCAATGAACTTTTTGCCATGCTCAGTAACTTTGATGAACGCATGGTGCAGTATCATGGCTCCGGCGGTGGCTTCAAATTGTCGGCCAACTCTGCATCCAGAGGCCGCGGTGGTGGCTCTCGCTCGCGCTCATCTTCCCGCGGCAAGGGGAGGTTTGGCGCCGGCGGTGGTGGCTACTCCAACAGCTCACGTGGCGGCGGACGCTCCGGTAACTTCAAAGGGCGTCGTGGTGGTGGCAGTGGTGGTTCCAACAGGTCCCGTCCAGACTTGCCTCGCTGCCAAATCTGTGGCAAACCTGGTCATACGGCAAAGGACTGTTGGTACCGCTACGAAGAAGATGATGGTGATTCCTCGCAAGATGAAGAGAAAGTTGCTGCGGCGGCCGATGGCTCCTATGGAGTAGACACCAACTGGTACGTTGACAGCGGCGCCACCAACCACATCACCAACGAACTCGAGAAGGTCACCATGAAGGAGAAATATCGTGGCAAAGATCAAATTCATACGGCGAGTGGTGAAGGTATGGGCATACGTCACATTGGCCACTCAATTTTTAATACCCCTAGTCGTAAAATTCATCTCAAAAGAATCCTGCATGTCCCTAGTGCTCACAAGAATCTTCTCTCTATTCATAGAATTGCTATTGACAATCATGTTTTTCTCGAGTTTCATCCTTTCTTCTTTTTGATCAAGGATCAGGCCACGAAGAAAGTTCTCTATCGAGGTAGATGCGTTCGAGGGCTCTACCCGTCGATTCCGGAGTTTAGAAGATTCAATAAACAAGCTTGTGGTGCCATCAAGCTGTCATCCACACGATGGCATGATCGTTTAGGACATTCCTCTTTTTCTTTGGTTGAAAAATTACTTAGGAAAAATAAGCTCCCGTTTGTTGGTGAGCGCAATATTGAAACTATTTGTGATTCATGTCAGTGTGCTAAAAGTCATCAATTACCATATCCCATCTCTACTAGTGTCTCCACCAAACCTTTGCAATTGATCTTTTCTGATGTGTGGGGGGCTGCCCCTCCTCTGTTGGTAGACACACATATTATGTAAGTTTCATCGATGAATATAGCAAATTTTCATGGATCTATCTTCTCAAAAAAAGATCCGATGTGTTTCAAGTTTTTCACAACTTTCAAGCTCTCGTTGAAAGAAAGTTCAACAACAAGATCATTGCTGTCCAATCGGATTAGGGAGGGGAATACGAGAAACTCAATTCCTTCTTCCAAAACATAGGTATATCTCACCATGTATCATGCCCACACGCTCACCAACAAAACGGGTCAGCCGAACGCAAGCATAGGCACGTTGCCGCCGTCTCTGTCATCACTGTCTTCTCTCAGTGAGCTCAACCTCCGGAACAACTCCCTGTCTGGTCCGATTGCTCGTGTCAACTTCTCCGGCATGCCACTTCTTGCTTCAGTTGACTTTTCGACGAACAACCTGAGTGGGTCTCTCCCGGTTAGCCTCGCGGATTGTAGCGCGCTCAAGTCCCTCACCCTTGCCAACAATCAATTGGTTGGCACCATCCCGTCGTGGATTGGTGAGCTTGACAACCTTCGCTGCTTGGATATCTCAAATAACTCATTGGTTGGTGAGGTACCCAAGGGTTTGACATGTCTCAAATGCCTCGCGACCGCTGATCGTTCAGTGGGTATGGCTTTCACTAACATGCCATTGTATGTGAAGCGTAACAGAAGAGTACTCCAACAACAACCAAATGTCTTATCTGGGAGCAATAATACTGTCAGATCGGGGGGTGGCAATGTCCTATCCGGAGACAACAACACTGTCATATCTGGGAACAACAACACCCTATCCGGGACCAACAACACAGTCGTATCTGGGAGCAACAATGTCCTAACTGGCAGCCACCATGTTGTATCTGGCAGCAATAATGTTGTAAGTGATACCAGCCATGTTGTAAATGGGAGCAGCAATACTGTATCCGGGAGGAACAATATGGTAACCGGGAACAACAATACCGTATCTGGGAGTAACCATGTCGTATCTGGGAACAATAAAGTCATAACTGGAGGTTAATGATCTGTCAGTGGATTGATTCCTCTTCCCTGACGGTGCTCATTACCTTGTCCAGGTTCAGTGTGGCTTACAATCACTTGGTGGGGCCAATCGCGTTTGTAACTTCATGGATATAGCATCCTATTCCTACTACTTTAAATAAAAGTAATCCCTAAAATGTCTACAGTTTTTTTACATAAAAATGCTGACCTGAACAGCAATAGGCGGCTTATAGCTGATGTAGACCAAGTGTGTTTGCTTATTATATACAAATATTGCATCGTGTATGTCTAGATGTGGTTTCTTAATCTCTTCTTCTATGTGTTGTGTGATGCTTTCTTATTAAGCTTAATGTCAGCTGGTTATATGCATCACTTTGAGATGTTTGGATGAAGGAATGGAGCAAAAGAGTAGAGATTAATGTTGTTGGCATCAGGTCACTTATGTAGTGCTACAACATTAATGCATGTCTACTCCCTCATTGTGTTGACATCAGCTCAGTTGTACTGTACGGGGATGGATATGGATACGGGGCTATGGATAAGGCAGTGTAGAGATACAACGTTTTAGAAAACATAGCCACACCGGGATATGTTAGTTATCTGTGATGTATCCTTCATTGCGCTGCAATTCACGTTCTGTTATTACATCTATCCTACAGAAAATTGGGGAGCTAGCTGCCACTTTTGTGTCTGTTCAACATGTTGGGATATCTGATAATGTCCCTGCTTATTTTTGTGCAAAGCATGCTAGCACTTTGGAGGAGACGAATAGTTCGCTTGATGTAAGCCGGGTCTTCCTAGTTTCTAGCATGTTGGATGATTGTAATTGGATGTTAATTTCTTAGTGAAGCTTCCATGGTTCGATAATAAAAATGTCGTATAATGGAGCTATTATGCAACAGGTGTATATTTGTCTATTAGGAAGAGCAACGATGTTGTATTTCATTGATGATGAAGAAGAAACATTACCAGGCCCGTAGCAGACACCTGTGCAGCATGTCCGACTGCACAGGGCCCCTAGCACTACAACTTAATGATTAATCAAGGCACGGGGTACTAAAACGTATTCATTGGGAACATGCACCACAACTCACAGCTACTCGATCTCATGCACGCCTCTCCTCCTTTCGATAACTTCTCCTTCTGTTTCTTTGTATTCTCTTTAACTTCCAGCGAGCAGTGCAAATCCCGTCCTCCATCGATGGCTGGTAGATTAATTCCTTCAAGGTATGCTCCATCCTCAGTCCAACATCTATTTATTCGGCGTGTTCTTCTCGATTTCTCATGTCTACTATGTTTCTTCATATTACATTGTTGCTTGCTACCTATGCTGCCCGACTAGAGCTTTAACCAGGCTACTAGACGCATTGCCTTTGGCCCGGCCCCATATGGTCTTCTTCCCAAGTTCTTTTCATTCCTTTTCGTTTCTATGTTCTATTTCTTCCCTTTTTGTGGGAATATATGTTCTATTTCTAACACATCATAAGTTTTTTACCGAACTAATCACTTGATCTAAAACTTGTGATCTGGATAAGTTTTTGACAAAATAATCAAATGATATTTTGGAGAAGATTTCTTATGAAAAACAAATCGAAGATTTGTGACAGGGAATGCTAGTAGGATGGCATGCTTCTGCTAAATAACGTACTAATTTTGAGTTTTGAGAATCGCTTTTTGAGTATAAAATTTTATTCCCGTAATTGCCACTGGTTATATCAAGGGCCTAATTTTGGATTTGGCACGGTGCCCCGTTTTCTTGGGTACGGTCCTGAACAACATCGAAAGCTCGTGAGGAACACACAGGCACAATGACAACACAACACAACTGCACTACTATTATGTACCCCTTAAGCCCGTGAGGCACGACTGATAGGGTTCAGTTTGACCTCTAACACGGAGAAAACAAAGTTTCTTTTGTGAGTGTAAAAGTGTTTCATTCCAGGATTATATTGTTACAGTCCAGAGGCAAGAATTTCTCAGTATATTGGGATGTCTAGAATTTCTCAGTACATTGGGATGTCTGTGTAGCAACACAGCTGTGCTACTCTTTGTACGGCTATATCTCGTCAAGAGGCAAGTATTTTTGTTTTCCTACTATTTCAACAGCTAGGCCCCACACATCAAAGAAATAAGTTTGAAACGAAACTTTGATCCATTTATTGATTTTGGATAAAGCAATTGGTGACTTTTGCCTTTGTGACAGGCGTCACAAACAAATTCATTGTTAAAAAAACTAACACATCGGAGCTTGGCTAATTTTTCCCCTAACAATAGTGGATGACGGATGCCCTAAATGTCGGTGCCACCTTGATATGTCCATTTTGCATCATGTTTTCCTACCGTTATTTATGATGTTTTCATGCATAATAATGCTTTTTGGAGTAATTCTAATGCCTTTTCTCTCATAATATGTAAGGTTCACACAAAGAGGGTGAATAGCGGCAGCTGGAATTCTGGACCTGAAAAAGCTACGTCAGGCCACCTACTCCGCACAACTCCAAATGAGCTGAAACTTCACGGAGTTTTTTTATGAAATATATAAAAACTATTGGAGCAAATAACTATCAGAGGGGGCACACCAGGTGGGCACAATCCACCTGGGCATGCCCTGGTGGGTTATGCCCTCCTCAGCCCACCTCCGGTGCCCCTCTTCTGGTATATAAGTCATTTTGACCTAGAAAAAAATGGAGAGAGGACTTTCGGGATGAAGCGCCGCCGTCTCGAGATGGAACTTGGGCAGGAGCACTTTTGCCCTCCGGCGAAGCGATTCCGCCGGGGGAACTTCCCTCCTGGAGGGGGAAATCATCGTCATCATCATCACCAACAACTCTCCCATCTTGGGAAGGGCAATCTCCATCAACATCTTCAAACAGCACCATCTCCTCTAAAACCCTATTTCATCTCTTGTGTTCAATCTTTCTACCGAAACCTTAGATTGGTGCTTGTGGGTGATTAGTAGTGTTGATTAGATCTTGTAGTTGATTACTATATGGTTTACTTGGTGGAAGATTATATGTCCGGATCCATTATGCTATCTAATACCCCTCTGATCTTGAGCATGATTATCATTTATGAGTAGTTACTTTTGTTCTTGAGGTCACGGGAGAAATCTTGTTGCAAGTAATCATGTGAACTTGATATGTGCTTGATATTTTGGTGGTATGTATGTTGTGATTCCCTTAGTGGTGTCATGTGAACGTCGACTACATGGCACTTCACCATATTTGGGCCTAAGGGAATGCATTGTGGAGTAGTTATTAGATGATGGGTTGTGAGAGTGACAGAAGGTTAAACCCTAGTTTATGCGCTACTTCGTAAGGGATGGATTTGGATCCAAAAGTTTAATGCTATGGTTAGATTTTATCTTAATACTTTTCTCGTAGTTGTGGATGCTTGCGAGGGGGTTAACCATAAGTAGGAGGTTTGTTTAAGTAAGAACATCACCTAAGCACCGGTCCACCCACATATCAAACTATTAAAGTAGCAAACACGAATCAAACCAACATGATGAAAGTGACTAGATGAAATTCTTGTGTACCCTTAAGAATGTTTTGCTTATCATAAGAGACCATTTTGGCATGTCCTTTGCCTCAAAAGGATTGAGCTCCTTTGCTGCACTTTTGTTACCGTTGTCGTTACTTGCTCGTTACAAATTATCTTGCTATCAAACTACTCGTTACTTATAATTCCAGTGCTTGTAGAGAATACCTTGCTGAAAACCGTTTGTCATTTCCTTCTGCTCCTCGTTGGGTTCAACACTCTTAATTATCGAAAGCACTATGATTGATCCCCTATACTTGTGGGTCATCACACCCACCCGAAGAGGGTTTGCTAGCACCGAGTACTTGCTTCTTGGCATCTTGTCCCATGTGCTTGCTAGGGTATATACCTGTCTGATAACCCACAAGTATAGGGGATCGCAACTGTTTTCGAGGGTAGAGTATTCAACCCAAATTTATTGATTCGACACAAGGGGATCCAAAGAATATTCTCAAGTATTAGTAGCTGAGTTGTCAATTCAACAACACCTGGAAACTTAATATCTGTAGCAAGGTATTTAATAGCAAAGTAATATGATAGTAGTGGTAACGGTGGCAAAAGGTAACGGTAGCAAAAGTAATATTTTTGGATTTTATAGTGATGGTAACAGTAGCAGCGGAAAAGTAAATAAGCGAAGAACAATATAGGAAAAACTCGTAGGCATTGGATCGGTGATGGAGAATTATGCCGGATGTGATCGATCATGTAACAGTCATAACATACACAGAACTAGCTCCAGTTCATCAATGTAATGTAGGCATGTATTCCGGATATAGTCATACGTGCTTATGGAAAAGAACTTGCATGACATATTTTGTCCTACCCTCCCGTGGCAGCGGGGTCCTAACGGAAACTAAGGGATATTAAGGCCTCCTTTTAATAGAGTACCTGACCAAAGAATTAACACATAGTGAATATATGAACTACTCAAACTATAGTCATCACCGGTAAGTATCCCGATTATTGTCACTTCGGGGTTAACGGATCATAACACATAATAGGTGACTATAACTTGCAAGATAGGATCAAGAACTCTCATATATTCATGAAAACATAATAGGTTTAGATCTGAAATCATGGCACTCGGGCCCTAGTAACAAGCATTAAGCATAGCAAAGTCATAGCAACATCGGTCTCAGAACATAGTGGATACTAGGGATCAAACCCTAACAAAACTAACTCGATTACATGATAAATCTCATCCAACCCATCACCGTCCAGCAAGCCTACGATGGAATTACTCACGCACGGCGGTGAGCATAATGAAATTGGCGATGGAGGAAGGTTGATGATGACGATGGCGAAGGATTGCCCTCTCTGGAGCCCCGAACGGACTCCGGATCAGCCCTCCCGAGAGAGTTTAGGGATTGGTGGCGGCTCTGTATCGTAAAACGCGATGAATCCTTCTCTCTGATTTTTTTCTCCCCGAAAGTGAATATATGGAGTCAAGGTTGAGGTAGGTGGAGCGTCAGGGGGCCC